ACACCCCTACACTCATACACCCCACAGACACACCCTATACACCCCACACACACTCACACATCCCATACACCCCCACACACACACTCCACACACACACACCTCACAGACACTCACACACCCCACACACATTCACACACCCCACAGACGCAACCCACACACTCACACACCCCACACACACTCACACACCCCACACACACTCATACACCCCCCACACACACCCCCCCACATACACTCACACACCCCACACACACTCACACACCCCACACACACTCACACGCCCTGCAGGCACACCCCCCACACACACACTCACAAACCCCCTGCAGTCTCAGCTCACTTCAGCCTCGATGTCCTGGGCACAAGTGAACCTCCAGCGTTAGCCTCTTGAGTAGCTACAGATGTGCACCTCAATACCTGGCTAAATTTTTAAGTTTTTTAGAGATAAGTTCTTGCTTGTTGCACGGGCTGGCCTCAAACCCCTGGCCCCAAGCAGTCCTCCTACCTCAGCCTCCCAAAGTGCTGGAATTGCAGAACTGAGCCACTGCAACTGGCCTGATTTTAAAGAAAAAGATTGGCTCGGTGCGCGGTGGCTCATGCCTGTAATCCCAGCACTTTGGGAGGCCGAGGTGAGTGGATCAACCTGAGGTCAGGAGTTCGAGACCAGCCTGACTAATACGGTGAAACCCTATCTACTAAAAATACAATAATTAGCTGGGCATGCTGGTGTGCACCTGCAGTCCCAGCTACTCGGGAGGCTGAGACAGGAGAATCACTTGAACCTGGGAGGTGGAGGTTGCAGTGAGCCGAGATCGTGCCACTGCACTCCAGCCCGGGCAAGACAGAGCAAGACTTCGTCCGAAAAACAAAAAACTAAAAACAAAGAGAGAAAAGAAAAAGAAAAAATTTTTGAGGTAAAACTCACATAACACAGAATCCATCATTTTAACTATTTTAAAGTGTACAATTCCGTGGTGCTTAATACACTTACAGTGTTGTGCTTCCATCAGCAGTAACCGGCTCCAGAACATGTGCATCACATGGAAAGGAGACCTGCAGCCCTTACGCAGTCACCCCTCATTTCCTCCTCCCTTCATTCCCTGACAGCCATTCATCTTCTTTCTGTTTTTATGGATTTACCTACTCTGGCCATTCCATATAAATGAAATCATACCATATGGAATATTTTATGTCTAGCTTCTTTCGCTTAGCATACTATTTTTATAAACTTATCCACGTCACAGCATGTATCAGTATTTCCTTACTTTTTATGTCTGAATAATATTCCATTATGGGTAGACCACATTTTGTGTATCCATTCATTTGCGTTGTTTCCATCTTTTGGCCATTACAGCAATTACAATGTACTGCTAAGACCATTTGTGCACAAGAGTTTGTCATCGGCTCCTCTGGGATACACACCTAGGAGTGGGAATGCGGGGTAATTCAATGTTAAACCTTTTGGGGAATCACCACATTGTTTTCCACAGCAACTGCACCGTCTTGCGTACCCACCAGCAGTGTACAAAGCTTCCCAGCCGCCCGGCCCCGACTGCCAGCTCTCCTTCGTCGCGCCGCCACCGTGCTCTCCTTCCGCGTCCCGCTCGCGCCCATCCCGGACCCGCAGCAGCTGCAACTCTCGCCGCTGAAGGGGCCCAGCCTGGTCGACGAGGAGGACACGGCCCCGGCCCTGAAGGAGACCCGCGCCCTGGCCAGCAAGACCGCGAGGAGGATCTTCCAGGAGCCCACGGAGCCGAAAACTAGAGCGGCCCCGCACGGAGAGGCGGATGAGCCGCTGCTGAGAGAAACCGCGCCGCTTTGTCATTTTCCCCATCGAGTACCACGATATCTGGCAGGTGTATAAGAAGGCGTTGGGCCGGGCGCGGTGGCTCACGCCTGTCATCCCAGCACTGTGGGAGGCCGAGGCGGGTGGATCACGAGGTCAAGAGATCGAGACCATCCTGGTCAACATGGTGAAACCCCGTCTCTACTAAAAATACAAAAATTAGCTGGGCGTGGTGGTGCGTGCCTGTAATCCCAGCTACTCGGGAGGCTGAGGCAGGAGAATTGCCTGAACCTAGGAGGTGGAGGTTGCCGTGAGCTGAGATCGCGTCATTACACTCCAGCCTGAGTAAAAAGAACGAAACTCTGTCTCAAAAAGAAACAACAACAACAACAAAAACAAGACGGAGGCCTCCTTTTGGACCGCCGAAGAGGTGGACCCGTCCAAGGACATTCGGCACTGGGAATCCCTGAAGCCCGAGGAGAGACACTTTATATCCCACGTTCTGAGTTTCTTTGCAGCAAGTGACGGCATAGTAAATGAAAACTTAGTGGAGCGATTTAGCCAAGAAATTCGGATTACAGAGGCCCGCTGTTTCTATGGATTCCAAATTGGCATGGAAAACATACATTCTGAAATGTATAGTCTCCGTATTGACACGTATATAAAAGATCGCAGCGAAAGGGAATTTCTCTTCAATGCCATTGAAACGATGCCTTGTGTCAAGAAGAAGGCAGACCGGGCCTTGCGCTGGACTGGGGACAAAGAGGCTACCTATGGTGAACTGCCTTTGCTGCAGTGGAAGGCGTCTTCTGTTCTGGTTCTTTAGCTTCCATATTCTGGCTTAAGAAACGAGGACTGATGCCTGGCCTCACATTTTCTAATGAACTTTTTAGCAGAGATGAGGGTTTACACTGTGATTTTGCTTGCCTGATGTTCCAACACCTAGTACACAAACCATCAGAGGAGGGAGTAAGAGAAATAATTATCAATGCTGTTCGGATAGAACAGGAGTTCCTCACCGAGGCCTTGCCTGTGAAGCTCATTGGGATGAATTGCACTCTAATGAAGCAATACATTGAGTTTGTGGCAGACAGACTTATGCTGGACCTGGGTTTTAGCAAGGTTTTCAGAGTAGAGAGTCCATTTGACTTTATGGAGAATATTCCACTGGAAGGAAAGATTAACTTCTTTGAGAAGAGAGTAGGCGAGCATTAGAGGATGGGAGTGGTGTCAAGTCCCACAGAGAATTCTTTTACCTTGGATGCTGACTTCTAAATGAACTGAAGATGTGCCTTTATTTTGCCGAGTTTTTTTCCATCTCATGAAAAAATCAGCTAAAGTGTTATCAATTAGCTACACCATGCATTGTCCGTAATGTTCATTAACAGCGTCTTTAAAACTGTGTAGCTACCTCACAACCAGTCCTGCTTATTTATAATGCTGGTGCTATCACCTTTTGCTAGCAGGCTGGCTGGCTGTGACTTACCATAGCAGTGACAGTGGCAGTCTTCTTGGCTTTAAAGTGACGGATGACCTTCTAGTGAGCTTGACACAGCAGGATTAAACATTTCATTTAACCAGCACAGGCAGTTGAAAGACGCAGCCTTGCTGCTTCAATGCAGATTTTAATATTTCCTTAAATATAAAACTGGCACTGTACAAACAAACATTGTTTGTACTCAAAAGATGATAATAGTTTGATTTGTTTGGTTTCTATACCAAATACAAAGCATTCTCCTGACCACTAACAGGAGCCAATTCACAATTCACTAAAGGACTAAAGTAAGTTAAACTTGTGTAGACTAAGCATGTAATCTCTAACTTTTATTTTCATGAATTAAAATACTCATTAACAACAAAAAAAAGCTTCCAAGTTTTCCACATTTTTCTTTTTTTTTTTTTTATATCTTTTTTTTTTTTTTTTTTTTTGAGACGGAGTTTCGCTCTTGTTGCCCAGGCTGAGTGCAATGGCGCGATCTCGGCTCACCGCAACCTCCGCCTCCTGGGTTCAGGCAATTCTCCTGCCTCAGCCTCCTGAGCAGCTGGGACTACAGGCACGCGCCACCATGCCCAGCTAATTTTTTGTATTTTTAGTAGAGACGGGGTTTCACCATGTTGACCAGGATGGTCTCGATCTCTTGACCTCGTGATCCACCCGCCTCGGCCTCCCAAAGTGCTGGGATTACAGGCTTGAGCCACCGCGCCCGGCCCCCAGTTTTCCACATTTTTACCAATGCCTGTTATTCCCCCTGCTCCACCATCCTGGTAGGTGTGAAGAGGTACCTCATTGTGGTTTTGATTTCCTGTCCCTAAGGATTAATGATGTTGTACATCTTTTCCTGTGCTTATTGGCCACTTCAATATTTTCTTTGGAGAGATGTCTATTTAAGTCCTTTGCCCATTTTTAAATTGGGTTGGTTGGTTTTTTTGTTGAGTTGTGAGGGTTCTTCCTCTATCCTGGATCCTAGCTGTTTATCAGCTATATGCTTTGCAAATATGTTCTCCTATTCTGTGGGTTGCCTTTTCACTCTCTTGATAGGGTTCTCTACTGCATATACATTTTTAATTTGGCGAAGTCCATGTTATTTTTTCTTTTGCAGCCTGTGCTTTTGTTGTCATAGCTAGAAAACCACTGCCAAATCCAAGGTCATGAAGATTTACCATTATGTTTCCTTCTAAGAGTTTTATAGTTTCAGCTCTTATATTTACAATTTTAATCAATTTTAAGTTAATTTTTGTATATGGTGTGAGGTAAGGATCCTATTTCATTCTTTTTTATGGATATCCAATAGTCTGAGCACCATCTTTGAAGAGATTGGCCTTTCCCCACTGAGCAATCTTGGCATTCTTGACAAAAATCAAGGGACCATATGCCTGAGGGCTTAATTCTGGACTCTTAATCCATCTCATTGTCTATATGTCTGCATTGTCTCAATCCATTCCATTATCTATATGTCTGTATTCCATTCTGTAAGTCTGTCCTTATGCCCGTGTCACAACCTTTTGATTGCTGTAGCTTTGTAGTAAGTTTTGGAAATCAGGAAATGTGAGTCAGTCAACTTCTTTTTTTTTTTTTTTTTTTTTTTTTTTTCAAGATTGTTTTGACTCTTTGAGGCCCCTTGCAATTCTGTAGCAATTTGGGGATCAGCTTTTCCATTTCTACAAAAAAAGAAAAAAAGGCCATTGGAATTTTGATAGAGTTTGTATCGAGTCTGTATTCTGCTTTGCGTGGTATTGCATCTTAACAATATTAAGTCTTCTAGTCCATAAACATGAGCTGAGTTACCATGTATTTAGGTCTTCTTTCATTTCTTTCAGCAATGTATTTAAGTTTCAGTGTACAAGTCTTTCATCTCCTTGGTTAAATTTATTCTTAAAAATTTTATTCTTAAGGATGCTATTATAAGTGGAATTGTTTTATTAACGTTCTTCTTGGATTGTTCATTGCTGGTATGTAGAAACACAACTAATTTTTGTGTGTTGACTTTGCACACCACAATATTGCCGAATTTCTTTGTTAGGGCTAATACATTTTCAGTGGATTTTTTTCTATATAAGATCATGTCATCTGTGAATAGATCATTTTATATCTTCCCTTCCAATATGATGGCTTTTATTTCTTTTTCTTGCCTAATTTATCTGGCTAGAATCCCAGTGCTGAACAGAAGTGGTGAAAATTGGACATCTCATCCTTTTCCTCTGTTGGGATAAATGCTTTCAGCCTTTCATCATCAAGTATGAGGTTAGCTGTTGGTTTTTCACAAATGTGCTCTTTCATGTTGAAAAAGTTTCCTCTGTTTCAAGTCTGTTGAATGTTTTTATTATGAAAATATGCTGGCTTTTGTTAAATGCTTTTTCTGCATCAATTATGATGATCATGTGGCCTTCTCCCTTCCAATCTCATAATGCAGTGGATTATACTGATTGACTGGGTAGCTCAGATTTTCCAAGATAAGCTGTAAATCTGCATTCTGATGGGAAATCTTACTTTTTAAAATGTGTGCACAGGCCAGGTGGCTCATGCTTGTAATCATAGTGCTTTGGTAGACTGAGGGAGGAGGATTGCTTGAGGCCAGGAGTTTGAAATCAGCGTGGACAATATACAATAACCTGTTTCTACAAAAATAAAGATAAACTTAGCCAGGCATGGTGGCATATGCCTATAGTCTCAGCCTCTGTGAAGGCTGAGGCAGGAGGATTGCTTCAGCCCAAGAGTTTGAGGCTGCATCGAGTTATGATCATGCCACTGCACTCCAACCTGGGCAACAGAGTGAGATCCTATATCTAAAAAACAAAACAAAAAACTGTATGTATATTTAAAAAATTGTGGCGGGGCGTGGTGGCTCACACCTGTAATCCCAGTACTTTGGGAGGCCAAGGCAGGCAGATCACGAAGTCAGGAGTTCGAGACCAACCTGGCCAACATAATGAAAACCCATCTCTACTAAAAATATAAAAACTTAGCTGGGCGTGGAGGTGGGCAACTGCAATCCCAGCTACTTGGGAGGCTGAGGCAGAGGAATTGCTTGAACCAGGGAGGCGGAGGTTGCAGTGAGTTGAGATTGCCCCATTGCACTCCAGCCCTGGCTGCAGTGTGAGACTCTGTCTCAAAAAAAGGAAAAAAAAATTGCATAGGCCAAATGAAACTCAGCTAACAGCCAACTTGGCCGTGGCCCACCAGTTTGAAATCACTAATCAAGGGACTTAAAAGTCCTCCCTCCTTTTAACTCAGGGATTCCATTTCTAGGGATCTATCCCGAAGAAATAATCCAAAATGTGGGCAATATTTTACACCTGCACTTGAGTATCACCTTTAATTGCCAAAGCTAGAAAGTCCCTGAATACCCAGCAATAGGGGAAACGTAAGAGACGGGGAAACGTAATGAATGTTTTGCAGCCACTTAGAATGGCTTACAGGAAGACTGTGAAATGTCATCAGTAGATATAAGTGATATAATTTTAACGATGGTTGTTCAATATCACCGCCATTGTCATCTACTATGAACATACACTTTGTTTTTGTGACAAAAAGAAGACGGGTTCCCCAAGGCCTCCTCTCCTGGCTGGGGTCCTGTGGCTCAAATAGGTCACCCCCCCACCGCCCACCTTTCCTCCATTTCCAAATTCGGAGTGATGTCCTGATATAACGTCTCTTGGCACTTCCCACGTTTGATTCGCATTTTAAGCACGTGACTGTCAGGAGTGCATCTCCACACACCGGTTTCCCTTTGGCTGGCTGCGTGCTGGTCCACAGCCATTTGCCCAGCCGGTCACATGGAGGAACTGCTTTGGGCAGAAATCCACTCCCTGTCCCACCCATCCCTGTTTTTCATAAGCACTTGAATCAAAACAATCTTGAACATCGTTTCTCACTTTGCTGGTCAGCAGGGACGCACCTGTCTCCAAGAATTCAACACCATGGACAACGGGGTTCACTGTGCGGCCGTTTTTGACCGTAGCCCTTTCTCTAAACGGCTGGGGTCATAGCCTCTTCCATTCTTCCCTCTTGTACATCTTGTCATGGAACAGACGCTACACGTGGAAACCTGACAGTTCTTTCCAGGCTTCGACCTGGAAACCCGACTCCGTTCGGAGTGTTCTAGGCCCACACATCAGTGACGGTGCCTGAAAACAGAACTGAATTCCGGCTGTAGAGTCCACAGCAAGTGGGGAGGTCACGCCCCTACTGAATGCATGAACGACACTAGGATCGGGACAGCACAGGCCGTGGGGCACAGAAAAGGGGACCCTAACCCGGCAGCCTCCCTAGGAGACGCCGCTCAGCTGTGTGCTGGGAGGCACATGTAGAGAGAAAATGCCTCACAACCAGCAAGCCAGTGCAGTGTGGCGCAGGCCCATCCAGTGGCCCGCAGCGCCCTGCTGGGCTCAGAGGACAGTGGACGCTGCAGGGGGTGGGGCGGGGCTGCGTGGAGGGAGCCGTGTGTGAGCTGAGCCTCTGTGCTGAGTTCGGTAGCGACCTCCCCAAAAGTCATGTCCACCCAGCACTTGTGAAGGTGACCTGACGTGGAAACAGGGTGTCTGCAGATGTGATGAAGACAAGGGCTTGCCGGATTAGGGAGGGCCCTCACCCATTGACTGGTGTGATTATAAGGCAGGGGCATTTGCACAGAGACACAGGGAGGAAGCCACGTAAAGATGGAGGCAGAGGCTGCTGTGGTGCGTTCAGAGCCCAGGAACACCGTGGGAGCCAGCCACCCGCGGAAGCCAGGGAAGGGGCCAGGAGGGGCAAGACCTGCCGACCCCGATCCCAGACTCTGGCCTCCAGAACCCTGACAGGATACAATTCTGTTGTGTTAAACCTGGTTTGTGTCACTGTGTGATGGCTGCCTCAGGACACTTGGCAGCTTGAAGGAGACCTTATCTAAAGGCCCCTCGGCACTTGTGGGTGGGCATACGCTCCTCCTGGGTGATAGCCCCCCTGTATGACAAGCCTCCTGGGTGACGGGCCTCCTGGGTGACAACCCTCGCTGCCCCTGAGTGGCTGCCTGGCATGCAGCAGGGCACCAGGCACCGGCACCTCCCGATGGTTACCAGCAGGTGGCACCCCTGACCCAGGCACTGGGCCCCTCCATACCCTGGGTTCTGGGTGGTACTGGGAGAAGTCAGCTTGGGTGGGGTGGAGCCCTGGGCCATCTGCCCTGGACCAAGTCAGGTGGTAGCACAGGTAGACCCAGCTCCTTTACCTTCGTGAGGCCTTGAGCCAGGGGCTGCCTGTCCTGTGCAGAGGTGCAGAGGACTTTGTCCCTGGGGTGGGTGGGTGCAATGAATTTTGGGA